TCCCGGGACAGGTAGGTTAAGGCTAAGCCCCACGTCATCAGAACATCCTTCGAGAGTGGCCACCCGAATGCTTGTCCTGTGCCATGACATCTCGACTATCGGACACCCGCCCATATAGCCTTCATTTGCCTCAGAGATATCCATCACCCGACTTCATCCATCTCTATATGTCCTTTTGTTCATGACTAGACTAAACTACAAACTAAGCCTTACCCATTAGACATGTAGAAGTACGGTATTACATAGCAACAAAGGCCCAAAGACCGGTCCTTATGATGGCCAAAGTGCTACTCTCAAAAGTCAAAACCATGCACCTCGTCACCCCGAGCCTAGCCTAAGACCATTTGGGGTGTTTTTGAATAGGGGAAAGGGTGTATGCCCTATTCCAACATAAGCCAACCACTCCATAATATCCAAGTAATATGATATAACTCCTAAAGTCTAAGATTATAAAACAAGTCAAAGTTGTCTAGTTAACTAGCGAAGCATCTAGCTAAATTCATACTGGTGGAACCATATATAGAGTACACACTTGTTGGGTTTTATTTTCCTAGGGTGAACGAAGTGATATAAACCATTGCAACGATAAGGCTATAACAAGGATTAATATGAAAAGCTAAATAAAACAATGAGAACGCGAGAATTTAAATAAAGCGGTTATGCAATAATTTAAAATCATGGGACAACAATATGTTCAATGGAGATGTGACTTGCCTTCAACCTCCAAGTAGAGCGGATCTTCCAAAGCTGCAGCGTCTACATGACCAACGAAAAGAAAAGGGTTTTTTACTCTAATAAAATCCAAATAAGTCACAAGAACAAAGTACAAAAGTAGGTTCTTGACTTCTTAAGAAAAAATTAGAGACTTGAACAGGTCAATTCCGAGTCCAAACGACCAAGATATGGCCCTCTGAAGTTTAAGTGTTGTTTAGGTGAATATTTTCAAATTCTTGAATTATTTTTATTAATAAATAAATAATTGCATTTGCACCAGAGAACTCGCGTGTGAGTTGGGTCCACGAGAAGGACTCACGCGGCATCCAATCGGTCTACGCTGGACCGGGTGCACCTGAGAGCCGTCCACCGGTGCTGTGGGCCCCGCGCATCAGCCACCCGAAGTGGACAACAGCGGCTGACAGGCGGGCCCCACACGGCGGCCACGCAACACGCCCGGTGGAGGAGACGACTGCATGACCGGTGGGAGGCAGCGCCCGCGCTCCTATGCTCGCCACATGGCGGAATGACGGTCGGAGAGAGCATGAGCACGGTGAAAGGAAGGGCGAGGCCCGTGGATCACCCAAAGCGGTGGTGGCGACGGAAAAGTTGGTGTGAGCTCGGGGAGAACGGGGTTCGAACAGTCCTCGGGTGTGGTGAAGGGGCGATCGAGGTTGGCGGAGACGCTACAAAGCCAGAGTTGGTGGCGCCGAGACGAAAGGAGGTCCTGACCACGGCGAAGCTCGGTCGGAGCTCGGCGACAGCGGCGGCGGAGAGAGAGAGAGAGAGCAACGACGGGAGCTCGTTTCGGGTCGAGTGTGGATGGTAAGTGGCGGAAATGGGAGAGGGGGTTGTGGAAGGGGTTTATATAATGGTAGGGGACGAGGGGGAGGGCTGGAGAGCGGGGAACTGGTGGTGTCAAATCCAGTGGCCTTCAATGGCCCCGGCAAGATTTGCGGGAGGATATCCGGCCAATTCAAGAGGAGAGAGAGAGAGGAGGGGAAATGGAGGGAAAGGGAAAGGGAAACACGGGTTGTAAATCCCCCCTTCCAAGCGGGCGGCAACGGCGGCGCTATGGTTAGGCGAGGGCAACAGGAGCGGCGGGAGGTGGGAGATGATAGGTGGGTCCGCATGTTGGCGTCTGTGGTGTGTGGTGCAGTGTGCGTTCAGGTGGGCCGGCCTAGCAAGCGAGGGGAGGCGGACCAGGCCGATGGGAGGAGAGAGAGGAATGGAATGGGCCACATCATCACCCTCTAGCAATTATTATATAGAGTATTTTAAATCGCAGACAAGTTTGCCACATTATCACCCACTAGCAATTATTATCTAAGAATATTTTAAATATCATTCAAATATGACATATAATTTACATTTTTTTTATATTTTTAGAATTATATAATCAATATGCAAATAATGTCAAATTATTATCTCCACGTCATTTTTATATTATTTAAACATATACATATATCATTTTATTATTTCTATAACGTATAAAATGTATTCATCCATATATCCGCAGCAAAGTGTGAGGCATCACGTAGTCCTAATTAATGGTGGAATTAATTAAGCGATCGCAACAATCGTTTGTGTCAAAGCAAAAACGTGACTGGTCAGGATCGAAAGGAACATGGCAGGAACCTGCAACTCTTACTTAGTAGTGACAACGTTTGTCCGTAGACAAATGCTAGGATGTTTATTTCTCCCTTTTCCATTTTGTTGTCCGCTTCTTCTGAGCACATGTACGTCGTACACATACATGGAATTTATCTACGACTACGGGTCTGATGGCTACACATCGCGTCGCGTCGCGTCTCATCGCATCTTACTTTCCTCCCACACGGCGAAGTCCCTTTCAGAGACGATCCAAGGTAATTATAACCTCCACGGCGAACCGCCAGTCATCCACGTCGATCGATCGGTCGACGTCCCGCGCGCGCGGCGATTGACGACCGATTCTCCGGAACCGCGCGCCCGGCGGACTGTCAGCCAGCCGCCTCTTCGTGCCACGCGCGGCTTGGCGACTGGTCGGCCGGGTTAATTGGTTGCCTATTACTACTATATACTTCGTCAGACCGGTCGGCCTCTTCGTGCCGGAGTATTACAATGTCAGCTTTCACGCATGTGTTTTTTTCCCTAGTTTGCACTGTCAATTGGTGCTAGTGGCTGATAGATTAGTGTTTGTGGCATTGCCTCCGGCGGCTTAGAAAGAAATTAATTAGTCCTCCACAGTACTAATTTAGTACTCCTACTGTCGGGGTCTCCCTTGCAATTAATTAAGATAGTCTGCACGCGCGCACGCACTGCACGCACATGGTTACTGCATTCAGGGGAAGCTCGCACGTGATAATAACTTGTTTTCATGGGTCGCAAATGCTCTCTAAAACTTGCAGTGCATCATAATTTAAAATTACAAATTAATTCCATCTGCTATGTATAAATTAAACCCGATAAAAATTTTAAATACATAAACATTTAGGGCGCCCTTCATATTGTACTGCCAGTACATAAACATTTAGAGCCCCTTTAATTTGTAGAAAAAATATAAGAATTTTAGAGGATGTTAATCCTATTGAAAAAAAAAAATCTATGAAGTCCTTTGAAACAAAGGATTGAATCCTCTCGAATCCTTTAAAATTCCTATGAAATGGGTAATTCTATATACATTTTGGAGGAAAGTTAGCAAAAGGTTTAACCTGTTGAAAAATTTTCTCCGAGTCTATCTTTCTAATCTGATTCCTGCGTTTTTCCTATGGTCCAATCAAACGGTCATTCCTGTGTTTTGTAATTCTCTGTTTTACAATTGTATTTCTGTCAGAATCCTGCGTTTTTCTTATTACTCTGTTTTTTCATTTCTACGATTCAAAGAGGCCCTTAAGATAGGTGATTTTTCATATCACTATAAGAATCCAGAATTTTTATGGGACTACCTATCCGACATGCAACATAAATCTAGGTAAGAAAACAGTCACCTTCCACAACACAAGGCTAATTTAAGATGACAAACTTAAATAAATACATCAAATTAAAATTGATCACCACATATAAATTAAAATTACAGCTAAATATAATAAAAATTACAAATGTAACCAATATTAATTATGATGTAATTATAGTGTAATTATGCTGTAACTAAAGTGTACTCCCTCCGTCAAAAAAAATCAACTTCTAGCTATGTATTTAGACATAACTAAGTTTTTTTACCCACCGGTCATATATCAACATGCCTTTCACCCTCACGCTGGAAGCGAACAGGCGCAGCTACATAGCTAGATCGTGATTCGTGAAGAACTGTCGAAAACAAGCCGTAAAACGCGTGCGCTGATGTCCCATGTGAGCATGAATGTCCGCACCATCGTAGGGACGAAAATTCGACTGTGATTAAGAAGAAAATTTATCGCCATAATTATAGCAAATCCGATTTTCTTAACGGTTAGTTAACTTTTTACGGTCAAAACAAATTAAGTTACTAATATTACTCGTTTTCTTGGCCATTTTGATGTTTTTTTAGGGCAGTTTTTGCCTGTCAAGAAATTCTAGTTTCTTGTAGGGAATAAACATGTACTACCTCCATTTTTAAACAGTATATGATACGGTTTATTGGATTGTATTTGCCTGGCAAGTTCATGTTAAAACAATTCAATTTGGTCTTTAAACACTGCTTATCATAGAAGGTTACTAGAACTAAATTGAATTGTTCTATGACATGGTTTCTCTGCACGACTATATATCAAGAGTAGTATTGTACACGCCTATATATCAAGAGTAGTGTTGTACATGATTACTATAAATTGCAAAATATAACATGTGATCAATACACATGTCTTTTACGATTAACTATAAATTGCAATATATACATGAGCTTTACATGTAAGGCTAAAAAAAAAATTGTGGCTGGGTTTCCTGTTAAATGATCTTCCTCTATCTAAAATGAAAGGTTCAAAGCGGTCTCTCTACTCCCGGATATAAACCTTTCGCGCACGGCCAAGTTGTACTAAAAAAATAGCCAGAGTACTCCCTAGTTCTTCACACAGACCGAAAATAAAAATCATTTTCTCGCCTTCCAGGAAAAAAAAGGCATGCATCAGTGGCACGATAAAAACGTCATTTTCTTATGGTCTCACCGGTACAGTGAAGACAAATTTAGCCCGTTGGCGATTGCGATGCTCCAAGTTGGTTACAATGTAAATTGAGAAAATATCTCGAGAATTCCAACCTTCCAAGTACTCCAACTCCAAGATGGAGTAAGATGTAGTAGTAACATGTAGGTAGAAAAAAACTGCAGTGGATGCAGATCGGTACTGCTGAACAGCTGACCACACTTGCTCAGTTGATCTGAATTCCATGCATGAATGGTCACGACCCATCTAGTTTCAAGCATAGAAAAATCAACGCGCACAACATGGAATCATTCCAAATGTTTTCACCTATATAAGCGCAGGAACTCGAGCTACCACACATATATCTCTCTTCAGTCTTCACCAGTTGATTAATTACTACGACGCCGCATCAAAAGCTCCAGCAATGGCGGCATCTCCTCCGGGCGCCATCGTGATCAACATGGCATCGAACACCAACGGCGAGTCCACGGCGGTGACGACCAATAACTTAGCTCCGTCGACGCCTAAGGCCGTCGATGAGTCCACGACGTCGTCGAAAACAGATGTGGCCACGAAGACGGTGACCGACAAGGTGATGGCAAGCACGGCGAACCTGGCGCAGCTGCTGCCGACGGGGACGGTGCTGGCTTACCAGGCGCTGTCGCCGTCCTTCACCAACCACGGCGAGTGCAACGCCGCCAACAAGTGGCTCACCGCCGTGCTGGTCGGCGTCCTGGCCGGCCTCTCCCTCTTCTTCTCCTTCACGGACAGCGTCGTCGGCCAAGACGGCAAGCTCTACTACGGCGTGGCGACACGGCGGGGATTGAACGTGTTCAACATGTCCCGGGAAGAGGAGGAAGCGAAGAAATTGAGTCACAGTGAGCTAAGACTACGGCCGCTGGACTTCGTGCACTCCTTCTTCACGGCGATGGTGTTCCTCACCGTTGCGTTCAGTGATGTCGGGCTGCAGAACTGCTTCTTCGGGCAGAATCCTGGCGGCAACACCAAGGAGCTCCTCAAGAACCTGCCTCTTGGCATGGCGTTCTTGTCGAGCTTCGTCTTCTTGATCTTCCCGACCAAGAGGAAGGGCATCGGATACAACGACAATACACCCAACCGCAAGGCCGAGGATGTAACTAAAAATTAAATTAAAGCTCTTATATACGTAGCTAGGTCACACGTACATGTCTCTCAAAAATTTCTTGTTAGAATATATATATAATGTAATTAACAAGTATTTGATTGGAGATCAGTTAATTAAATTATGTCTTGTATTAATTAATTAGTTTCTTCTATACGCAAAAGCTAAACTGGAATTGTTATTAATAGTTGGGCTTATCGATTATATTGATATACTCCTTTTGTTGGTACTACGTCGTCTTCAGCTCAATCGAAATGAAAACCACCTCTCTTTTCAAACCAAGAACAGTACTATCTGACTCTTGCAACAAAATTAACCTCCAAAAGAATTTTCAGCTCCGATTCTGAATATCTGACTCACCTTATAATTTTCACGCAATGGTTGACGGTTAGGCAAACTTAAAGCATCCAGTGGCATGGGTTTGTTTAAGGTTTTGTTCGGTTGCTTGGGAAATACTAAACCCCAGAGGAATCTATCCATGGAGAGTGAGTCCCTCCCATATCACCCAATTGTCACGCTGCTTTTATTTTACTCATGTGTGTACCCCTTTTAGACTTTTGCTGTATACTTGGGTCGTTGCTATTGGGCCATGCGGCTGCTGGCCATGTAAGTGCTAAAGCACAACTATAAGTTCAGACCTTCGAGTTGGGGGCTAAATCATCGAAGAAGAAGAAAGCAAAAACCAACTATCTCTATCTCTCTCTACTCTGTACTAACTACTTCCCTTGTTCTTCCCCAAAATCACCCAAACTTCCAAAATCGACCAAATCGCTAGGCGAGACGCCGGTGATTCATCACAGTTCGTGACATCTTTGGTACCAGAGCCGTCGGTCCTTGCGCAACACGGAGAGGAAGATGGGGAACCCAACTCTGACGGAGAGAGTGGTGGCGACAGAAGGCGAGACGGAGGCGCTTGGTGAGAAGGTGGCGGAACTCACAAGCAGTCACAACAACATCCTGGGCACCTTGCGGGGCTTGGAATCGTGGATTCCGAACGTGGATGCGGGGATGTGGGATCTGAACAAGACGGTGGAAGGGATCTCCACCCGTATCACGGCGCTGGAATCCCAGCCGAAGGCATCACCAACAGCAGCGACACCACCGCCCGAAGGGCAAGGCAAGGTCGAGAATCACCAGGGTCTTGCAACTGATGCCTCTGCGGCTCAGGAGCATACCCTGGTCAAGGGTAAGCCTCACTTCCGCCACTCTCCGATTCATTTCGATTTGAGGGAAGGTTCAGAGAGATGGCGGAGTCAGTCTCAAGGGAGTCAGCATCATGGGGGTACTAGATTACGAAAAACAGAGTTCCAAAATTTGATGGAGAGAATCCTAAGTTGTGAAAGTCCAATTCTGAGAAGTATTTTCACATGTATCAAGTTCCGTTTGAAACGTGGGCTTCCTTTGCAACGCTGCATTTTGTTGGTAATGCAACGCTGTGGTTACAGACCTATGAGGAGTTGCACAGTGTAGAAGGTTGGGCGGAGTTATGTGTAGCTGTGCATAGTAAGTTCGGGAGAGATAAATATCAGGACCACTTAGAGGAGTTAGAGAGTTTTACAAAAACTGGGCGTGTAGACGAGTACCATAAGAGGTTTGAGGAGTTGATGCATAGGGTACTAGTGTATAACAAAGGGTACGATGAAACTTATTTTGTGACAAATTTTGTTGGAGGGCTAAAGGGAGAGATTAAATTTGCTATTAAGCTACATAAGCCGAGAATAGTTGATGCTGCGTTATCTCTCGCCAAAATACAGGAGGAGCTGATAGCTGAAGCTGGGAAGAAGAACTTCTATGTTTCCACCAGAGGGAGTTTCAAGGAGGCTAATACGGCACCTGGGAAGATTGGATATCAAGGGAAAGGTATATTGGGGCCAGTTCTAGAGGAAACTAAAAAAGTGGAAGAAAAGCCAAAGTGGGAAGACAGGTTTGAATCTTTGAAGGCAGCAAGAAGAGCTAGGGAGAGTGCTTCAAGTGTGGAGAAAAGTTTGGACCTTGTCATAAGTGCCCAAAATCAGTACAACTCCACATTCTGGAGGAGTTGTTGGAGGTGTTCCAACTTCAAGTTGATGGAGAACCAGTAAAGGAGGAAGGTGAAACCAGTAGTGATGAAGAATTGGTAATTTCGGAGTGTGCAGCCACTGGGGTTACTGGTAGGAAAACTATCAGATTGGAAGGGCTAATACAAAAGCAACATATCTTGATTTTGGTGGACTCAGGGAGTTCCAGCAATTTCTTGTCTGAGAGTGTGATAAAAAGGCTGAACATACCAGTGGAAGATACAGCTGTGTCACAGGTAACTATAGCTGATGGAGGGAAGATGTTGTGTACTAAGATGAGTCCCAAGGTGGAATGGTGGTGTCAGGGTAAATCTTGTCACAGATCTGAAAATCTTACCTTTAGGGAGCTATGACATGATTTTGGGGATGGAATGGCTCAAGGAATTCAGCCCAATGTGGGTGGATTGGAAGAGAAAGAAGTTGAGATTCACTCACCATGACAAAAGAATTACACTCTTTGGGGTTAAGGACCAACTGAATCATTGCAAGTTGATGTCAGCTAAACAGTTGCATGGGCTAACTAAATCTGGAGCTGTGTCACAGCTATTGCAACTGTGTGCAATTGAGGAAACTGAAGAATCGGTGGAAGAAGTCCCAGAATGCATTAAGGTGGTGCTAACTGAGTTTTAGGATAGATTCCAAGAACCTGATTCCTTACCTCCTCACAGGGCATTTGATCATGCCATTCCTCTGCAACCAGGGGTGAAACCAGTCAATTTGAAACCCTACAGGTATTCCCCTGCTCAGAAGGATGAAATAGAGAAACAGATAGCTCAAAGGATTCAGTAGGGAGTGGTTAGGCCAAGTGAGAGCCCTTTTGCTTCCCCTGTACTGCTGGTAAAAAAGAAAGATGGCACCTAGAAATTTTGTGTTGATTATAGGGGATTAAATGAGATCACTGTCAAAAATAAGTACCCAATGCCAGTGGTGGAGGAGTTGTTAGATGAACTGGCCGGGGCCAAATGGTTTACTAAATTGGACCTCAGATCAGGGTATCACCAAATTAGGCTACAGGAGAAGGATGAACATAAAACTGCATTTAAAACTCATCAAGGGCATTACGAATTTAGAGTTATGCCATTTGGGCTCAGTAATGCCCCAGCTACCTTTCAAGGACTTATGAACACTATTTTTGCTCCCTGGATCATAAAGCATGTGTTGGTATTTGTGGATGACATTCTAATCTACAGCCCAACCTTGGCTAAGCATGTGCAGCATCTTAAAGGGGTTTTGCAAGTCCTGGCTCAACATCAGCTACATCTGAAGCTTAGTAAATGTTCATTTGCCAAGTAACACCTTGAGTACCTAGGTCATATAATTGGGGTTGAAGGGGTAGCAACTGATCCCTCTAAGGTGGTAGCTGTGCAACAATGGCCACCTCCAAAAAACTTGAAACAACTGAGAGGATTCTTAGGCCTCACTGGTTATTACCGAAGGTTTATAAAGAACTATGGCCAACTGGCAAGGCCACTTACCGACTTGCTAAAGAAGAATGTCAAGTACCAGTGGCTCCAACCCCAGCAGATAGCTATGGAAGCACTAAAGCAAGCTCTCATCAACTCACCAGTGCTGGCACTACCTGACTTTAGCAAAGAATTTGTGGTGGAAACAGATGCAAGTGACAAGGGCATTGGAGCTGTATTAATGCAGGAGGGCCATCCCATTGCCTTCATCAGCAAAACACTGGGGGTCAAATCTCAAGCCCTATCCACATACGAGAAGGAGTGTTTAGCTATTCTGTTGGCAATACAAAAGTGGAGGTCTTACTTACAGCATTCAGTGTTCACTATACTTACTGATCATAGGAGTTTGAGCCATTTGAGTGAACAAAAGTTAACCACCAGCTTACAACACAAGGCTTTCCTGAAGCTCATGGGTTTGCAGTACAAGATAAAGTATAAAAAGGGCCTAGAAAACAAGGCAGCAGATGCTCTGTCCAGGCAGTGTGAAGAAGAAACATCTGCCATTTCCATGAGTATTCCCAGGTGGCTGGAAATCATACAAGAGGGCTATACAAAGGACGAGGAGACCCATAAATTGTTGGCTGAACTGAGTTTATTGCCAGATGGGCAAGGGGATTTCAAATTGGTCCAAGGAATCATCAGACATAAAGGGAAAATATGGTTAGGCAACCACACTGAAGCTAAGGAGGCTGTCCTACTAGCCTTGCACAGCAGTGGAGTGGGGGCCATTCAGGGGTCACGGCCACTTATCACAGGATCAAGAACTTGTTCTCCTGGCCCAAACTGAAGAAGGATGTGCATGATTATGTGCAGGGTTGTGAAATCTGTCAACAAGCTAAGACTGAGCACTGTAAGAGTCCGGGATTACTCCAACCTCTTTCTGTGCCATTACAAGCTTGGACAACAGTCAGTCTTGATTTTATTGAGTGATTGCCAAAGTCTGGGGGTTATGATACTATTATGGTTGTGGTTGACAAGTTCACCAAATTTGACAAGTTCATTCCTCTATCTCACCCTTTCACTGCCTTGACTGTTACACAAGCTTTCATCCAACACATCTATGACATGTTTGGAATGCCCAGTATGATTATTTCTGACAGAGATCGTGTGTTCACTAGTGCTCTTTGGCAGGAATTATTTAAACTTGCATATGTTAAACTCAATATGAGCTCCTCCTACATCCTCAAACGGATGGACAGACTGAACGACTTAATCAATGTCTGGAAGCATATTTGCGATGCACAGTGCATGCCTGTCAGACAAAATGGTCTCAGTGGCTTTCCCAGGCGCAGTTTTGGTATAATACATCATTCCACAGTGTGCTGGGCAAGTCCCCCTATGAAGTCTTATTTGCTAGAAAGGCCACATCCTTTGGGGTTGCTGATCTGGGGTTGAGCACAGTTCCTGACATTCAGGTTTGGTTACAGGAGCGCTCTCAGATGAATGAATTACTTCATCAACAGCTGGTACGTGCACAACAGAGAATGAAACATCAAGCTGACAAGAACAGATCCGAAAGAGAGTTTGCTGTTGTAGATTTGGTTTACTTGAAGCTACAACCATATGTGCAGATGTCAGTTGCTAAGCACTCTTGTCACTTGTTAGAAACTCAGCTTTCGCTACTTTGGTCCTTACAAGATTTTGGGTCGAATTGGAGCTATGGCCTATCGCCTGGAATTGCCCGAAGGCAGT